AAGTGCAAGAGGTGTTACTGCACACCCGTCATGCTGATCGTGCCCCTGCAGCTGCGCACTGGCCTTTTGGCTTTGCACTGGACAAGCATAGCGGACTCAGAGGTTTTGATGGCAAGGGGCTCATGCACCTGGTACGCACGTTCTGGAAGTGTTTTTGGAGGTCTCCACAGAATGCCAAGTTGTCGCGCATACGAGACGAACTCTGATCCGACCTCCCACGGCTACTTGGCACACCGCAGGCGAGAAGACGCCATGATGGCCATGAGGTGTGTGGGATATGCTCTCAGACAGGAAGGCCTTCGCAGCGTCGCAGAGTTGTTGGACATGTCGAACGCATTCGCTTGCACACCAATGGAGTGGCTTGAGGAGGCCGTCGGGGAGCTTGCGGACGCGGCGGGCTGGGCCCTCGCGCACGACCGAATCCATCATCGCGCTGTGGAAGTTGAGGCGCGTGGCGAGGCGTTGCATGCTGCCCTCGGTCGTGGTGAACTCATGGGAACTTGCGAGGCGCCCAAAGAGTTCGCCGCCGCATTTAAAGGACCCGTACAACGATGGCGCGCCGAGCGTGCTGCTCAGGACAACATACTGCTGTTCAAGACACCAATCCTGGAGCTACCTGCCCCGCGCGCTGCTGTTCAGTTTGCTGGTGACTTGAAGAAGCGTCACTTTATATTGTCTGGTTTGGCTACTGACGCACACACGATCACCGAAGAAAGCCAGGCGTTGCCCATCACGAAACTCGAGAAGGGGGGTTTCAAACAGAACATGAAGAAGCGCGAGATGGTCACTGAGCTCAAGCCGACTTAGAACTTGAAATTCAAAGCACAACTCAAGCCAGGTCTGGGAAGATACTACCACACGCACGGCATCTTGGCGGCAGGCATGCATGGACGGATAATGCAAACGTCGAGGTCAGCTACAGCATCGACGCTCTAAAACACATGATGGGCTGACATGGGTGGGTTCTGATTTGCGAAGGGTCCCACGATTTACGACAACAGCTCTTCTAGGGCAAAGTTGTGGGGTGCGCTGTCTCTGGCATGTGCAGCTGCGTCCTCGCGGAGTCTGAGCTTCATCGTCTGGGTGCTCAGACCTGCAGGAAGCTACGCGCCATCGAAGGTGGAGCGCAGGTGGCACATGACACACACGCGAAAGTTCTCACGAACAATCATCCCATGAAAAAGATGGGGAGCTGTTCCTGCGAAGGCTGCGTTGGCTACGTAAAGGATACGGTGGTTGCACGACATTGCTCGACACCCTCTGACGCATCAACAGGTCATCGCAGCTCTCTGGGGACACTTGGAAGACCAGCCCTCGCCGATCGACGTCGAGGGGAAGCTGGCGGTGAGTGCCAGCTCTTTCGCCAGGCAGTTCACACGCGACCCCGTGCTTCTGGGCGGCACCAGCGGCACAGAGGATGTCTTTGAAGAGTGGGCGTCGGCGGGCAGGGCTTGGCAGGAGCTATGGAGCTGCGAGGAGGCTACCAATGCTTTTCGGAAAGTGGATGCGAAGCTGCTGGAGGTGCCACTCTTGGGGGAGGACCAGCTGCGGGGCGAACTTGCATCCAAAGCCAAGGAGACGGAGGAGCCCGAGGGGGAGTTCGCGCGCGACTTGCTGGATGCGCAGGGCGACGCATGCGGCATGTGCTGTGGCACCTTGAAGAAGCTGGTGGTGCACATGACGGAGGCCCGCGGCGGGTCCCACTGAGCTCTGCGCCCGCTTAGATGCTGCGCGCCTGCGAACCACCGCCTGAACTGTGGCGGCCTGTTCGCTTCAAAATATAATGCAAAACAACACGCGCAAGCTTCATGGAGTCTCGGGAGGCGTCGGTCTGGCGGGGGGGGGGGGCATCAGGCATGGGAGTTGCAGGTTCCTTCTGGTGTTATATGTGAAATATGTGGGCTCGAGCTTGATTGCTTATCTGAATATTACATACACGCTCGCGAAGAACACTTGCCGCGCCCCGCTCCGCGCACGGTGGAGCGCCACCTCTTTCGCCATGCCCGCGCTGCTGGCGGCCATCGACGACAAGAAGGATGGCGCCCCAGAGTCACGCCGCGTCAAGCCACGCCAGGATGGAGGCAAAGACAAGAAGCCCAAAGGCGTCAGCGATCAAGGGCTTCGTCGGTTCCTGCTGGCGATGGTCAAGCAGCTCTTGAGGGTGGCCCAGGGCGTGCGCGAACTCGGAGGATGCCGATTCGACATGTTTCTCTGCCCGTCGGTCTGGGTCGAGGCTCTGAAGATGGCGGAACAGACACACTACTACGCGGAGGCGGCGAAGAAGGACGGGAAAAGGTCACCCTCATGGAGCTCCCTACACATGGGCGCTCGCGGGCTTGATCGCGGGCCTACACGATCGAGGCGAGTCGGCGGGAGCACAGAACGGGGAGCACCTCAACGAGATGACGGAGTGGCTCAACGACCACAACGTGGAGGACAAGATGGAGATGATACAAATGCGCCGTCTGGACAAGACGCACGACAAAGAGAAGAAACGGAACACCTTTGTGCTACGAGACGAGCGTTGGCGCCAGAAGGTGATCGCGGTCTGCGTTCAGGTGGGGGTGGAGCGCAAGCAGGACAAGGCTCCAGCGTCTTTCAAGGAGCGCGAGCTGCAGGAGCACGTTGCGCAGCTGGTGTCGTGAGAGCCCGACAATCTAGAGCACCAGCCCGACAATGCGACCTGGGCATGGGGTTTTGTGGGCCTGCTGGTGTACCTGAGAGTGAACGTGAGCCTGCTGCTGATGCACCTGAATGTGTACGTGAGCCTGCTGCTGTACCTGTGCGGGTTCGTGTGCCTGCAGCTGCAGGCCACCTTGCAGTTGCTCTGCCTGTCGGCACCCCCGCCGTTGTGCAGAGTGCTTCGCCTGAGAATTGCTCGTTCTCCTCCCCTCCCTCGACCTCGGGGCCCACTGGGACTCTTCCTGACCAGCGTCGCGCCGCGTCTCGCTGTGGCCCCTCGGTCCTCGCCTCTTCCTCGTCCTCCTCCAATGCGCTGGGAACCCAGGGGGTTCGTTGCACCCCGCGACAGTTGCGAAGCCCCCAGGGGACCCACGACTCCCGAGGCTTTGTTGGTTTCTCTTGGGGTCGAGCGGGGCAGCCCCCGCTGGAACACTCTGATACATAGTGATAGGTTGCGTTCGATGTTGAAGCGCACGAAGCAATAATTTCGTTTTCTCCAACCGGCCGTAACTCTCGAGTCGGTCGGCGGGGCCAGCCGTGGGCCACCGTCGGCCTTAGGTGCGGCCCCCTCGCCCTGCGCTGGTCGTCTCGGTCGACGTCACCGCACGCCGCCCCTTCTTCAAAGTCATTGTTTATCAGGGTGGCGAGTCACGAGGATGAATTGAACCTTGTCGCACCAGGCGCCAGAGGTCGACGCGCCACAAGCGTGGCGAAGCGCGGGGCTGCATAAACAGTCCAACGTGCTAGGCTGCAGGCCAACGGGGGCGAACACACATGGCAGACCGAGAAGGCTGAACCACTCCTGAGCAAAGCCGGTGGGGATACGCGAATCGTTCAGAATTTGCATTACCGCGCATTACAAGCTAATCCACGACATCACACCAAATTACACCACACAGCAGCACATACTCGCATTGCATCGCATTGCATTACACTAAATTACACTGCATTACATCTATGCATACATGCATGCAAGCATGAACGCATGCATAAATACAGTCATACACACATGCATACATGCAAAACTACGCGTATGTGCATGCATACATACATAATGACGCTCATACACGCGCATACACATATGCAGTTACAGCGACATGCACATATACATATACGAGTACACATGCAGATACGCATATGTAAAATTATACATATACCAAAACCGATATATATATAGAGAGAATACACATACATGCACGTACACGTATGCAAATCATATACAAATTCATACACATACAGATGTACATGCTCATATACATGAAATCATATGCAGACGTACATACGCATGTTCATATACATAGACATGCGCATGTACATGCGCATGTACATATACATGAATACATGCACAAGCATTAATATGTTCATATATATGTATACACATACATTCGTATATGTATGCGTATATACAAAGGTACTGGCATCCATGCATACATGCATACAGTTATGTAACAACTAAATACATACGTACCTATATACACTGTGTGCATTCATATAGACACAAGCCGTCAGACCTATGTACATGTATGTGTGTACGTTTGTTTGTACGGGTGGATGTTTGTATGTGCATGCATCAATGTACAGCTATATGTATATATACATGTATAAATACATGTGTATATATATATGTGTGTGTAAAACTCTCTTTCTCTCTCTCTCTCTCTCTCTCTCTCTCTCTCTCGCCCCCATATCTGCACTGAACCCTCAATGCACGTGTATACTTATCTCTATGTTTGTCTCTCTCTGTCTTTCTCTCATAATATTGTTCCCTCTCTCTGTCCCTCTCGCTCCCTCGCCCCCGTATTTGTTGTTATCGTTTGAGATGTGTAAATGTATATATGTGTCGCGTTATCTCGCTCCCTCTCACTCTCTCGTTCTCTCTCCCTCTCTCTGTATCTCTCCTTCTCCGTCTTTGTATATCTTACGTATATGTATATATATACCAACAAACCAACCAACCAACCAACCAACCAATACAAACATACATAAAGAATGCAGCGCATAGTTATGTACACCTGTCAATATCTATATATGTATATCTGTATGTGTACGCACAATTGTGTGTATGTGCGCCTGTCCACATCACTCTCCTTATCTCGATTACTCTCTCTCTCTCTCTTTCTCAATATCCTCTCTCTCTGTCTCTCTCTCTCTCTCTGTCGCTCTTTCTCTCTGCCACTCTTCCACGCCCTCTTCTCGGTGGGAGCACAGCCGGGCGCCAACGAACTGATTGTGCCGAATGGCAAGCATGAAGAGGGCACAGAGGTAGGGAAGTTGATAGACGAGTACGGTACGACTGGTCAAAGAGCCCATATCGTATGCTAGATCGGGACAGAGCGAGGCGAAGCGTTGGCAAAGATCAGCCTGATGGCCCCCTTGCCGCCACGTTCGGCGTGCTCGCGGGTCCTCACATTGCAAGGTCAAAAGGCACAAGGAACAGCAGCACTAAGCCACTGAATTCGAGCACGTTGATGTGCTAAGTGTTCGCAACCCGAACAATCGTATTGAAGCAAGCAGTACATGAAACGAAAGCAAACGCAACCGTGCACTAGCCAAAAGCCAATGAGAATGCAAAAGAAGTGGCATTGGTACAGGATCACCAGACTGAACACACACACATCCTAAAGCCCAAGGGCTGGCGAAGCCTAGTACCATAAGTGAACTACGTCAGGTTCGTGTCGTGACGACGTCGGCGGTGGTTTCTGACACTTCGTGGGTCGGTCAACCATACACGACCGCGGCACTCCGATAGAGCGGATCCTCCGACGTCGGCCGGTGATGGGCCGCTGGCGGCCTTCAACCTTGAATGCCCGCGATGCGGTCGTCACCCTGTCGGTCCTTTTTCCCCCAGCAATGCTCGCACTGAGGGTTTTTTGTTTGCTCTGCTCCGCTCCCGCGCCGTGAAGGACAAAAGATGGCCCAAAACAACCCAATTCCTCCAATATGGCTCCAAGAGCGCCCGAGAGGCACCCAGGAAGGGCCACAAGAGAATTCGGAGAGGGGTCTCGGAGACCCTCATAAGGACAACAAGAATTTGGCATCCGAACAGCCACCGAAAGGTTCCCAGGGACTACCAAGTTGGCAAATGTTGATTGCTGCTCGCGCTGACGCGCGATGCAGGCTGTTGAACTGCGCGCATTAGATCGCACACAAGCCCAACCAATAGATCGCACCCCACATGTTACACCACACACGCACACATTGCATCCAACATACTGCACCCGAAAAGTTGCACCCCACGACGCCCTACATATTGCACCAGAAAGAGTCTCATTGCAACACCACAAATTTTCACCACTAGATTGCGCCCCATACATTCCGTTACCGAAAACATTGAGCTCTACCCCAAACCCACCCCATAAAGGCGGGGATCATCCCCTCGCCTCCGCGTATCACGTGTTCGTATATATCGCGTAGGCCACTCAATTTAGAATCGATGCGGAAATCCACATATGCGCATTTCATACTATAGCCACGCTTCACGGAGGAGCTCTGCCTACGAGCATCTGAGTGTGAAAGCGAATCCGCGTAGACGCCACGAGCGGCAATGACGACGACTGCGACGACTTCAGTGACGTGCTCCTCCTCCTCCTCATCATCATCATCCTCCTACTCCTCCACCTCCACCTCCACCTCCTCCTCCTCCCCCTCCTCCTCTTATTCCTCTTTTTCTTATTATTCTTCTTGTTGTGAATACTATCAGTATTCATATTCTTAGTATTAGTCGTATCAGTAATATTAACATTATTAAGATCATTATTATTCATAGTATGATTCGTCTTCTTCGTTTTCTTCTTCCTCCTCCTCCTGCGCCTCCTCCTCCTCATCCCCCTCCTCCTCCTCTTCCTCCTCCTCCTCCTCTAAACATCTTGCAAAACAAACGAGGTAACAAACAAGTGGGAGAGCGAGGGGGAATTCCTAAAGCCGTTCTCCCCGCGGCAACTCAGGTAAGCGCGCATGGCGTTTCTACGCCCGCTTTCTGGCGTGCTACTCGCGGCGCCTGCTGGCATTTGGGGTGCCCACGGTGTCACGCCGGCTATATCGCGGCAGACACTTATGTGTGAGCCTTAATGCGAGTGGATCTGAGCGTGGGTGACTTGAGTGCGATCGAATCGGGGTGCTAGTGGATCCCGGCACAATTGAGCCTGAGTCTGATAGTCAGTGTGAGCACGAGTGCGTCTGAGTATGAGCGAGTCTGAGTGCGAGCGGGTCAAAGTGCGAGTGGGTCTGAGTGCGAGTGAGTCTGAGGGTGGGTGAGTCTGAGTTTGAGCGTGATGAAGACGAATCTAAATATCTAAATATGAGTGAGCCTGGGTGCGAGGTAGTCTGAGTATGAGTGAGTCTCGGGGCTGGTGAGTTTGAGTGTGAGTGTGAGTCTTAGTGTGAGTTGGTCTGGGTGTGAGTGAGTCTGAGTTTGAGCAAGTCTGAATATGAGCGAACAAATATGTGCGAGTCTGAGTATGAGCGAAGATGAGTATGGGAGAGTCGGAATGTGATGAGCGAGTCGGAGCGAGGAAGAGGTGCTGATGAGCCAGTCCGAGTGCGAATGGGTGCGTCCGAGTGGGGAAAAGGAGGAGGGGAGTGAGCGAGTGAGTGAGGAGCACACAAATCCAAACAAAAGTCTTAGGGGCAGAGACGAGCAAACCGCCCAAAGCATCCCCCCCTATCAGAGCGCGAATCCTGAAGTGTCCCCACCCTGGCGGCTCCCGCTTGGGGTTCCCAAGTACCACGCCTGCTATGTCGCGGTGAGCACTGGACCACCAAAAAGAAAAATCTTGATGGGGCCCGAAGCAGACAAACCGCCTGAGGCATCCCCACAATCTGGACGCGAACCCTGGAGTGTTCCCACCGTCGGCGGCTCCGCCTTGAGGTGCCCAAATGCCACGCCTGCTGCATCGCGGTGAGCATTGGACCACCAACAGAGAAAATCTCTGGGGGACAGAGGCGGGCAAACCGCCCGAAAATTCCTCACAACTTGCTTTGAAAGCAGAGGATGTTGGGAACCGGCAAGCCGCCTGAGACATCCCCACAATCAGGGCGCGAATCCTGGAGTGTCCCCCCACCCCCACCCCTGGCGCCCCCCCCCTCCCCCTTGGGAGTGGTGCTGAAATCAGCGCCTCGCCTGAGACATCCTCAGAATTCTGCTCCGAAAGCAGAGGGTACTGGGCACGCAAACAAGCAAATCGCCTGAGGCATCCCCACGATCTGGGCGCGAATCCTGGAGTCTCCACCCCTGGCGCCCCCTCCTTGGGGTGCCTAAGTGTTACACCTGCTATATCGTGGTGAGCATTGGACCACCACTGAAATGAGTGAGTCTGACTCTGAGCATGAGAGGAGTGTGAGTGTGAGTGAGTCTGAGTGTGATTGAGTCCGAGAGTGAGTAGGTCTAAGTGTGAGTAATTCTGAATGTAAGTGAGTCTGAGTGTAATGAGTCTGAGTATGAGTGAGTCTGAGTGTGAGTGAGTCTGAGTATGAGTGAGTGTGAGTGAGTCAGAGTATGAGTGAGTCAGAGTATGAGTGAGTCTGAATGCGAGTGAGTCTGAGCCTGACTGAGTTGAATGAGAGTCCGAGTGTGAGTGGGCCACTCTGTTTGAGAAAGAGAAGGGCGAGGAGGAAGTAAGAAGGACGAAAGTGTGTCCCAACGCACCCCCAAAATCACCGCCCCCTTCCCCAGCGCCCCCGGGGCCCGTGCCGCTCCCGGTCTTCAGGTCCCGGAGGACCTTGCGGGTGTTGCCGTGCTCGTCGAGGGGCCCCACCACGCGCGCCTCTATACCAGCCTGGGGCGTCGAGGGGGGCAGGGCCAGTCGGCATCGAATCAGAAAATCGGAGGTGCGTCGTACCGGGCCGCATCGGCACGAAGTCGGAATCGAATCAGATCGCCCGCGCCAGGGTGCAAAACAGCGCCATGCAAGCATCGGGACGCATCGGATCGTCCGAATACTGAAATCGGATAGAATCGAGCTGGCCGAAACCAGCATCGAGTCGGATCGGGTCGAAATGTTCCCTGAGGCGTGGCTGATGTCGGGGGAGGCTCTGTATGTGCTTCGCGCGTGTTGCCCGAACGCTGAACCTGCTCTTCCATTATCGAGAGCCCTGATCGGATACGCTCCCCAGACAGCCCGAACACACAGGGGCAAGGGTCAGAACGAAACGGAGACTGCAAGCAAGGAGCTCAGACACATGCAACTCTGGCAGGCGCTGCCAGCTTCTACGCGAGTGTTAAGCGCAGAGCTCGGCGCCAAAGCGCGGTCGCTTGTGCTGCTGCCTGGCCGCGAGAGATGTTCGGTCTCAGCCGCTGCGACCGCAGCCTGCTCTCCCAAAGCCGACCCCCTGCCCACCGCGAGCAGAAGTCTCCTGGCCAGGACGCCGCGGCGGTCGCACAGCGAGTGCGCAGGTGGGCCAGCGAAGCCAACATTTCTCTCCGTGAAGTCTGAGGCCTGAGTGACCTCTGCTCGTGAAAAGGGTCCATCTCACAGGGCCTGCTGGCGATCCCAGCATCAGTTGGCGCCACGTGGCCGTGGCAAAAGTGAGGTGCACAAGCCCGGCAGCTACACCTGAACGCAGCATGAGCTTGACGATGCTTGCATCGTAAGTGATCTCGCCAGACACGCAGGAATAAAAGCTGCCGAGCGTCACCCCGCAGGAGCAAGAGCACAAAGGTCGATTGGGAAGAAACCGTGCGGTGGGGAGCCGGTGTAGTCGCACCGAACCATGACAGAGGCGTGTGCGAGCCTGACAACAAGCCGACAGCGACGCGCGGTCCCAGCTCAAAGCAGCAAGGACGTGCTGGACACACGCGCACACACACACACACACACACACACACACACACGCACGCACGCACGCACGCACACATACACACTTTTTCATCGGCAGCGGCGGCGGACGCTGGCGCGGGTGTCGGCTCTGGCGGGCCGCGCCGAGCGCGAAGCGTAGAAGCGAGTGGAAAAGAAGAGGGCGGCCGTGGAGGAGGGGAAAGAAAGAGCCCGACCGCCGAGCGTCGGCGGGTGGGGGAGCACAGGCGGCCTCTGGCACCCAACCCGTTGCGCAGCAAGAACGTGCGCAGCAGTCAGAACTTGCCGTCACACACACACACACACCCACGCGCGCGCGCGCACGCACGCACGCACGAACGCACGCACGCACGCATCCTCTCCCGCGATCACGCGCGGGACCCATCATCCACACGAAGCCGTGGTCGGCGTTCGGGGGGAGCGCGCCAATTTCGATTCGGCCCGGGGCGACGCTCGGCTCCACGAACGGCGCCAACGTCCACTGACCCCCGCGCGTACACGGCCAGGAACATTTGCTTAGCGCGTCGCCACGGCGGCCCCGGCGACACGCTATGGCTTGCGAGCGGATAACGTGACGCTCCGCGCCACGGGGTGGGAGGCTCGGAAAGGCTCGGGACGTTGACGCTGGGCCGCTGGGGGGCTGGGAAATTGAAATGGATAGCGTCGCGCCGAGGCGTGGTGGGGGACAGAGCCGGCGGAGCGACACGCTACCCGAAAGATCTCGACCGTTCAGTCGAATCATGGCCACAAGCACGTGAGCCAATAACATGAGCCCCTTCGCCGAAGGCCCGAGGCCCCATGGGGATGCTCCAGACGAGGGACACTCCAAAGTGGAGAGCCTGAACACGCTTCGTCGCGACGCCGGCGATCGCACGGCGCAGGCAGGCCTAGGTCGGAATGCAACACGGCTAATCTAATACCGCGGAGGCGGGGGAGGACGAGGACGGCCGCGGACAGAGGACTGCGGGCGGGCAAATCGCTCAGACCGCTCAGTCCGTCGTGCCGGTGTGGCGGCCTGGGCTCTGGGCAGGAGTCATGCGAAGTGGCGGCCCTGGGGCTGCGCATTGCGATCCCGCCAGGGTGCAGGAGGCCCAGTTTGACCCTCGCGCTAGCTGTGCACAGGGCGGGGGCGGCGCTGCGGCGGCGCTGCGGCGGCGCTGCCCCGGCTGGGCCCCCCGGCCTTCTGAAGCCCGCTGGTGGCGAGCTGCGCGGCGGACTGCTGGGCGGACATGATCGACTGGTGCGACAGCGACGCGACGGCGCCGCTGGCGACCTGGCAACCCTCTAACCGCGACACCGCGACGCTGACACGCACTGGCAGCCCCCGCCGCACCAGGGGGGGGGGGCAACAGCCGCTTCGGGTCTCCGAGGGAACGAAAACGAGGACCATGATCAAGACTGAACGCGGAAACGTCGGTGTCGATCTTGGTCGTCGTCCATCTTTGTCATCGTCAATATGTGGCTCCTCCTCGCGAATCGGGGACGGCTGGCATGGACCATGACCAAGATCGGCGTCGACACGATCCAGCGACATCTTGGTCATGGTCGGCGGTTTTCCTTCCCTCGTAAATCACCCGAGGGCCCCGGGGGCCTCCCAGGGGGCCCCCAGAAGCCCACACACATCCGGCGTTCCGACTTGTTCGATGCGTGGGCCCCTGGACCTCGCGACACCCCTCCCCAGTGCCAGCATTTCATCTCAAGACGTCTTGGCACGGTCCCGAGGCCCAGGCCCGAAACCAGCCCCCAGAGGCTTGGGCGGCGCTTATGAGGGGCAAATGGGGGGGGAAGGGGAAGAAAGGTACACTTCTCGGGTCCTAAAGGCCCCCTTTGGGACCCCAAAGGGCCCCCTGAGGGGCCCTACAGTGCCACTTTTCTTCAGCCCTCGCTCCCCCCCCCCGATATCGCCCCCCCATTGCGCGACGCCAAGAAAGCCAAGAATCTCGAGGCGTCGGCTGTCTGGGATCCTCGCCGCCGGCGCCCTGGCAGCTATCCGCCCCTCGGGCCATGTGCCTGACGACCGCTGCATAGCGCCCTCTGCCCACCAGCGGGTCCATGGGGCGGACAGAGCCCCTGGGGGAGGGGGGAATAAGACCGATCGCAACCGCTTCGGACCGGTCAGGAACCACTTCGGACCGATTACAACCACTGGAAACGGACTGATCGCAGCGTGCGGAATTCCTATTGTAATCCTACAAGGCGAACGCTGGATTGCTCGTCGGGGGTCTACTGACCTGGGTCAATGCAAACCTGGGCCAGTCAGGCTCTGCGAGATCCTGCAAGATCCGGCAGCATCCCGCAGGACCCTGCGCGCGAGCCCAGGTCAATGCAACCCTGGTCTTGCAGGATCCTGCATGATGCGGCGCTCTGGTTGACCCCCGTTTGAGTGTACCTTTTGATCCCCTACCAAACCCCATGCACCATGCTGAAAAAGGGAGGGGAAGAAGGGTTTTTTCCTATTTTGCACGGCAAACAGCAAGGGTCCAGCCGCAGGCACGACACCCGCCCGCTCTGCAGCAGGCGAGGTTAGAGATGCAGGGTGGGGGGGAGGAAAAGCGCAGCTCCAGCCAAGGGGACTGCAGAGAGAGAGAGAGAGAGAGACAAAAAAAAAAAAGGAGACGCGTGCACAACGATAGGGGATCCAACCGTTTAAGCAGGCACGAACTAAACCAGATCCCCTACCAAACCCCATGCAGTATGCTGAGACGGGGAGGGGAAGAAGGGGTTCCATTTTGCACGGCGAAAAGCAGGGGTTCAGCCGCAGGCACGACGCCCACAACACCCTCACCCCGCCGCACAGAACCTCCTCTCCTCCCATCACAGGCGGGTGGTGGCCCAAAAACCGGGGGCAACCCTTCCAGAACAACTAGAGCGCGCATGCGTGCGCCGCAAAGCCGGCGTGGATTACGTCGAAGATGAAACACGAAAGCTAAGGGGAGCCTACGCACGCACTACCGGGGGCAAATCTTCCCCGCTCAACCGCCACACCACCAGGGGGCCCGCACCCGATAAATGGTGCCAGCGGCCACCCGGCCACTATTTAAAGAAGGCACAGCAGGGGAGGCGGACCTTCCGCGGGGCGGGCACCTCACATAAGGTGGGTGCTCCGGCCAGCGGGCAGCGCGCGAAAACAAAGCTGGCTGAGCAGCCACTCCTCCGGGAAGGATACCAGCCCCTCTGGGGGCCATCTAAAGCAGGAACGACAGGTCAGGCCAGCCTTCCCCTGCCCGTAACCCGGGCGCGGGGCCCTCTGCCGCTTACTCGCCGGTCGGCCAGGATGGGGGGCGCTCGCCCCCCTCCCCCCCTGGCGGTGGCAGCACGGGCCCGTCCGTTCCGCGGGGGCCATGCGCGCCGAAGGTGGCTGTCCAAGCCACGGGCCACCCCCACCCCGGCCTGGTTGCTACGCCCCTCGCGGGGAGTGTATGAGCTCGAGCACCAGCTGCACCCAGTAGACTCCCCTGAGTCTGGGAGGAAGAGCAGCATCCAGTTGGGGTGATAGCAGACCCGTTCCCCATCTTCCTCCCCTTTCTGCGTGGGCGTTGCCTGGATAACCGTCCAGGTGTCCCCTCCGTCGAGGCCACCTCGCCCAGCCACTCTGCCACGTGCTTGGCACGAACGCCCAGCCCAGGTCGATCCCCCGTTGGCGCAGCAACTCATCCCAGGCGGGCGGCAAGGGGCCCCCCAGGGTGCACCTGGCACTGGGAGTGGGGAAATTACCTGGTCCTTTGCCACACGCCCTCCTTGCCGCACGGGACCCACGTGGAGAGGAGGCCCCAGTCTTCCTCTTCCCCCTCGTCCTCGGGGGTCCTCGCCAAGCGCCGGATGTGCCCCCCACCTTCTGGCGCATGGCGTTGATGGGGTGGGTGTAGCACCTCCCGAACCCGACGTCCTGGGGGATGTTGGGGCGCCAGTTGTCCAGGATCATCTGCATGATCAAGGGGGCTACTCCCTCAACCATCCCAAATAACGGTGGTCCGGGGGGGGGCGTCAGGGTTTGGGACAGCCCGAAATGGGCACGGAAAACATTGGTACAATGCCCAACAACAGATGCTGTCCCAAACCAACAGCGGCCGATGTTGGGCAGGCGGTCTTCTGTCTCAAATGGACACATGTCGCGGCGGCGTGGACAACGAGTCCTGTTCAAAATGAACAAGATCCGCTGTTGGGCATTGTGCCCATTCTTTCCGTGCCCATCTCGTTCGCGAAAGCCTGGAAATCCTAGCATTCCCGTCCGGAGTGCGGGGCTGCCAGCGACAGGGCCGGGCCCTGCCTTTCCTTCCCCCCCGCGTGGCCCGCGCTGCTCCGGGCCTGGAGCAGGAGCTCCAGCCTGAAGGTCGCAGCCAAGGCGTGGACATCGTCCTCGGAAGAGGAGGGCCCGCTGTTGAACCAGGTGAGAGAGGTCACCAGGCTCTGGAGCATGCGCTGCCCAGCCTCCGCGGTGCCGGGCCAGAGGTTGAGCTCCTCCCAGAGACGCCGGGCGCCCGCGCCGCGCGGGCGAAAGTACTCTCCCAGGTCCAGCGAATCCCAGGCGACCAGGTTCCCGTCGCGGAACGTGTTCTTTTCCATGTCCTGCATGCAGCCCACTCCTCCTGCCCTTCGCCCGGGAGACTCGCCAGGTCACTCCCGGCAGTTGGCGTCGGGGCCGTCCCGTCGCCGATGGGCACCGCTCCCGCGACAGCGCCCGCCGCCGCCCCAGCAACCCTTGCCAGCTGCTGCACCTGCGGGCGGGGGGGAGCGGGCTCACCCGCCGCGCACCCGCCTACCAGGGTCACCACGAGCCCCCAGAAAAGGGCCCTCATCACTCGGGTTCAGGGACCCTCCGCGCGCGCGCACGCGGGGCCCCTCCGCAAAAGCGCAGCTCCAGCCAAGAGGGCCGCAGAGAGAGGGGAGAAGAGAGAAGACGCGTGCACAACGAGAAGGAATCCAACCGTTTAAGGCACAAACTAAACCTCATTAAGCATAACGGGCGCCATGGAAGGGGAGGAGGGGGGACGGGAGGGGGCATAACGTAGCGCCCCCCCCAGACTTTGGTGCCGGACGCAGTGCGGCAGTGCCAGGGGCGCATTGATGGGGGGAGCGTGACGTTATGGAGAGGGGGGCGGGGGGGAGTTTAGGGGAAGTAACGCCTTATGGCACAGAGAGTTTTTTATTTATTTATGTATAACTCTATATATGTATATGCATGTATGTATATATAAACAACAAATACTCCCAATCATCCTGTGGTATTGGGTCCTCGTTTTGAAGAGACGGTGCCCCGCGTTCCTCTCCTCCTCCTCCTCTCCTCCTCCCTCCTCCCTGCGTTTCACCCACCCAGTACAAAACTTCGTGACCCCATAGGGAGCTCCACCGAAAGCTCCCAATGGCAGGGTTCGCATGGCTGCCTCGGGCCATTTCGGCACACCCCTCACGAGGATCGTGGCCCCATAGGGAGCTCCACCGAAGGCTCCAGTGGCAGGGTTCGCATGGCGGCCTCGGGCCATATCGGCACACCTCTCACGAGGGCTCGCGGCCCTCAGGGAGCTCCACCGAAGGCCCCAGCGGCAGGGTTCGCGTGGCGGCCTCGGGCCATTTCGGCACACCGCGCTTGAGGATCGCGGCCACATAGGGAGCTCCACCGAAGCCGCCAGTGGCAAGGTTCGCAAGGCGGTCCCGTACCATTTCGGCACACCACTCACGAGGATCGCGGCCCCATAGGGAGCTCCACCGAAAGCTCTCAATGGCAGGGTTCGCACGGCTGCGTCGGGCCATTTCGGCACACCCGTGACGAGGATCGTCGCCCCATAGGGAGCTCCACCGAAGGCGCCAACGGCAGGCCCCGCAAGGCGGCCTCGGGCCATTTCGGCACACCCCCCACGAAGATCGCGGCCCCATCGGGAGCTCCACCGAGGGCGCTAATGGCAGGGTTCGCACGGCGGCCTCGGGCCGTTTCGGCACACCCCTTTCACAAGGATCGCGGCCCCGTGGGGGGCTCCACCGAAAGCGCCAGCGGCAGGGTTCGCATGGCGGCCCCGGGCCATTTCGGCACACCCCTCACGAGGATCGTGGCCCCGCAGGGAGCTCCACCGAAGGCCCAAGCGGCAGGACTCGCACGGCGGCCCCGGGCCAGGTCGGCACACCCCTCGCGAGGATCGCGGCCACAAACGCGGAGCTCCACTGAAGGCGCCAGCGGCAAGGTTCGCATGGCGGCCTCGGGCCACGTCGGCACACCCCTCACGAGGATCGTGGCCCCATGGGAGCTCCGCCGAAGGCGCCAACGGCAGGCCCCGCAAGGCGGCCTCGGGCCATTTCGGCACACCCCTCACGAGGATCGTGGCCCCACAGGAGCTCCTCCGCGGCGGCAAGGTTCGCATGGCGGCCCCGGGCCATTGCGGCGCGCCCCTCACGAGGATCGTGGCCCCATAGTTGCGCTGCTTCAACAACCGCGCCTGGGCGTCGTACTCCGCCTTGTCCACGTGCAACGCCACTTCCTCCCTCTTGGCTCTCAAAGCCCTCTCCTGCTTCTGCTCCTCGGTCAGAGGGACGCCGTCCTTGTCGTCGTCGGCGCCCGCGAAGACGGCCACGAACGCGTTCGTGAGCATGTTGGGCTCCGGCGGGAAGCCGTGACCACATAGGGAGCGCGGGCGAAGATGGTATTCACAATTGCGGTATTCACAAGTGCAAATGGTTGAGTCCTTCGCCAGGCTAATTGCATGCACCCCTGTCTCAACGCTCCGATTTCGGTCGTCCCGACCCGTTGCTGGCCTCCCGGGCCTGGAAGTAGGCGTCCTGCAGCTGCCTGGCCCAGAGGGGGCGGGGCG